TGATCTTCCTCAGGACTGTGTGTACCTGGCCTGGTGAGACAGTTAGTGGAGGGGAGATGGGGGGCTGGGTGGTCTCAGTGTGTGCGTGTGCCTCTTCTCTGTGCTGTGGCTGGAGGTCTCAAAGCGGGTGTAGAAGGTGTTGAGGTCATCTGGCAGGCTGTCTGTGGAGCTGATGATGCTGGTGGTGGTCCTGTAGTCTGTGATGTGCTGGAGGCATTGCCACATCCGTCCCGAGTCAGCAGTAGAATAGATACCATTCAGCTTCCTCAGTCTGTACTTCGCAGCTTTGTACTCCGTCTCATCACCTGATCTGAATGCATGAGAGCAAGCACGCAGCATGTGGCGTACCTGACTGTTTATCCAGGGCTTCTGGTTGGGAAACCTCCTGACTTGTATGGTGGGCACAATGTTGTAAATATAAGTACTAATGTACCCGGTCACATACTCAGCATAGTCCTGTACACTGACAGAAAAGTCCTCTGAGGTGGCTGCAGCTTTAAACACATCCCAGTGTGTCTGAGCAAAACAGTCCTGCAGGGTGCCTTCAGCCTCTGGGGTCCAGAGTTTAATTTGTTTGGTGACAGGGTTTGTTTGTGGTCCGAGCATCCAAGGAGGGGGTGGGGTGCAGCCCTGTAAGCACCACGTATGTTACTGTAAACATGATCCAGAGTGTTCTTGCCCCAAGTGGGAATGTTCACGTTGGTAATATTTGGGGAGTACAGTCTTTAAATTGCACTGGTTAAAGTCGCCTGCAGCGATAAATACAGCATCTGGGTGCACTGTCTTTAGTGTGCTTGTCGTGGCTAGAGTGAGACCGGTGCTTGCAACATACAGAGTAATGCCGGCTGATTTAGTGTCTTCTTCCAGTGATCTCAGTGCAATCTGTTCAGATTTCTTTTGGTCCGGCTCCGGTTTAGTACAACAACCGTGACGCAAGCATGTGGCATTTTTTTCCTCTGTCTCTCTTCATATGTGGTGGATGTTCATTTTGACATGAAGTATTTATTGGTTCAGCACTGTCATGGCTGAGAGCTCAGGTGCAGCACTAAAATCCTTCCTTTTCTCTGGAAACGCCTCGTCTTTGGACAAAAGGAGGGAAACATTAGGGGATTTCTGCCGCTCTATTCAGAAAGCCTGAAGCAAAGGAACCTTTTGTACAACCCTTTAGGACTGTCGAGCTGCTCTGCTGTCCCAACAAAAACTGTCTTTTCCTGCGTGGATGGTTGAATCAGGCTGGCATTGCCAAATTTGCCTCACCAGGGATCTCCAAAAAAACCCGCTGCACTGAACTGTCATCTTCTTTTATCACAGGGGAGTGCGTCAGGTCTCCTCAGACATCCGTTGGCCTTTCACGCATCATGGTACTGTCGTCTGTTTATTGAACCGCTTTTTAAAGTAGGCGCTGATTGTGTAGCACTGGATATGTGTATTAGCAAAAAAAAAAAACAAACAAAAAAAAACATGTCGACGGTCATTTTAAACACTTTTATTTGTCGAACCATCCTTTTTCTCCTAGGTGTCAAGAAGCCCAAGATATTCTTGCCCGCGCCAGAAACAAATCAAGCTTCTGTACACACTTAGCTCAGCCTTACACAACTATTACAAATATCTAAATATGAACTACATACTGTTCTTACATATTACCTCTGGAACCTTGTTTATTTTCAACCACTACACGCTGATGACATCATAGAGTTTGCTGAGAGCCACAGAGGGATTAGCTCTTGGGCTAACATACACAGCAGCTAAAAACACAGCACTATGCTCTTTGGCTAGATAGTAGGGCCGGCATTTCAGCAATAAAAACTCTACGTCTGGTGCACAGTGCTTATAAACAGTCCGTACATCTCCACATCATGAGTTATTAATAAACACACACACACACACACACACCACCTCCCTTTATCTTCCCTGAAGCAGCAGTGCGATCGCTTTGATGTACAGAATGTGTTTGTAGCTGTATCGCTGAGTCTGGAACTCTGTCAGAAAGCCAAGTCTCAGTGAGAACTAGAGCACAGCATTCTCTGATTTCCCGTTGTGTTGTAATCCTAGCCCTTAGCTCGTCCAGTTTGTTTTCCAGAGACTGTACATTAGCTAGGATGAGGCTGAGTAATGGCGGTCGGGTAGCGCAAGCGTTTGGCCTAGCATGGAGTCCTCCTCACCTGCCCCGTTTGCATCTCTGTCTCCAGGTCGCTCTCCTGATTTCAGCCTGCTCGCTTGTGCCTGGTGCTCCGGGGGATCCCCGTGGGCGATGGTGGCTTTCCTTGCCATTGTTGTTGTTATTGTCGCTGGAGCCGGAGTGAACAATGAGCTGTAGCTCCGGTGGTATGAAACCAGGAAATTCCCAGTGGCTTTGTGTATTGGCGATATCCAGCAATGCCTGTCTGTTGTATGTAAGCAGTGCATGACATTTGTGCACTGCAGAAGAAGCAAAAAACACACAAAAAAGAAGAAAATGAAGAAAAAGCCGGCATTCAAGAGAGGAACGCGCAAACACGTTTGCCTTGGCGGACGCCATGTTGTGTATGGCAGCGGCATAGCTTACATAGTAGACAGAGCCAGGTTTCTTCTACCAGGATCTGTAGAAAAATTCAGCACTTAAGACAGTGGGCAGGAAGTGGGAGCTGTGCCCCTCTCCATGCACCAACATTGAAAAACCAACCATTTGCAGCTTAAGGTGCCGTAATAGATGGAGCTCTCGTGCACTGAATTGTGTGTGTGACTGCGTGTGACCGTGTGTGACTTAAGACAGTGGGCAGGAAGTGGGAGCTGTGCCCCTCTCCATGCACCAACATTGAAAAACCAACCATTTGCAGCTTAAGGTGCCGTAATAGATGGAGCTCTCGTGCACTGAATTGCATGTGTGACCGCCAGAGGCAACCTTAGGCTCTCCAGTCAGTCCCGTTCAGGGGCCAGGCCCACAGCCGTTGAACTGACACAGGGCACTGCTGGATCGTGCCAAGCAGATGAGAGAGCGCTTGCGTGCTCCGGGGCTATCAGGAGGATGCGCAGCCATTCAGATCGTCAAATAAAAGAGGACTCAGATTCCTGTTCTGTGTAGCGGTACTAACGGCACTTCCACACACTTGGAAAAATGTGCGGGGGGCCAGTGAATAGCCGAAGGGCAGACTGTCACACTGGAAAAATGCACCCCTGGAGGAGGAACGCAGGAACTTCCTGTTGGGGATAATAGGTGCATGAATAAAATAGGTGTCTCACAGATCGATGGAAGTAAACCAATCGCTGGGATGCACACACTCCAGCACTTGTTGTGGTGAGCGTGTGAAACTGTCTCTATACTATGTAGTTGGTGAAGAGAGACAGATCGAGAACGGGTCTCTTTTCGCCTGATTTTTTGGGAACCAGGAAGTAGCACGAGAAGAAGCCCTCATGCTCCTGCCCCAGTGGCACCACAGAGATACAATAGCTGCTTCGGCTAACGGCACCTGCAGCTCTGCTGTCAGCACAGCGCAGCCCGCGGGTGGAGTGATATCAGTTTCCAGCACGCTGCTGAAAGCAGGTGGGTGCCTGGAAAGATGCAGGGTGCGGCCAGTTCAATCAGCTTGTCCATCTGAACGTTCATGGACAGCCCCTCTCGCCACACCGTGTAATACTCCATCAGTGGACGAGCGTACGTGTGCGGTGCGCTTGCGTGCATTGCCACTAGCCACTGATGCGCCCTCACCCCCAGGGAAGGAGTTGTTTTTTTGGAGGGGGGGTGTGGCTGTGGAGAAGGCTAAGTCAAGTGCACCCCAAGGCACAAGTGTGTGCGGGGGGAGAACTGAGCAGTCCGTGTGTGTGTGTGTGAGAGAGACCGTGAACACACAGAGAGCCTCTCCTTCTTTTCTGAGAACATTTGTCAGAAAACTGCTCTTATGAGTCTGGTGGTGGCCCTGAAAAGACAGTTGTGTGTCAGAGGCAGGGTCCACAGCTCTGCCCTCCGTTGTGGGGAGAACTCGTAAAATGAGCATCCCACTCAGGCTTTTGTCGTCACACTGTTAGTCGCTGCACCTGCCTTGGATGCACGCTAATGAACGCGGGCCGAGAGGCGAGCAGTACCTGGTCCCGTGAACAGACAGGTGGCCCGCCTCCTGCCAAGACACATTGCCTGGGAAGCAAGATAAGGAGATGCTGGGTCCCTGCGGCGGAAAATGGCAGGAAGCCGAGTTGGCCAGATGGGGAGCTCTCGTTTCGCAGTGCCGTCTGTAGAAGCCACACATCATGTCTGATGGGAGGGAGCGGGGGCACTCAGTGGGGGAGATCAATGCCCCAATATCTGCCGCCTTTGATGATTTCCGTCAGAAGCGCAGCAGAGCCCCAAAAGCCAGAGGCTAGCTGGCAGCGGGAGCAAGCAGCTGAACCGGAGGAGGCTTGTTCTGCCAGCACCCACGTCGACCAGCAGATCAAGGGAGAGCCGGGGGAGCCAATGATGGCAGGGACTGAGTCAGTGGACTCAGGCCCACTCACGCCGAGAAGTCCAGGGGGGTACGCGCCGTCACCGTAGTTAACCTAGTCTAGCCTAGCCTAGCCGCTAGCTGCTAACGCCACCGCCCGGCGCTTCTTCGCTGCAGGCAAGCTGCCTGGGGGAGAGCGCTGGCTTGGTGTGGGAACATGTTATGAAAAACAGATTGCAGCCTGGGCACACAGTCATGGGGGCGCAGCACTTGAGTCTGGCAGTGAGGAATGGCTCTCAGCCATGAGAGTGTACTTACCCAACATACTTACCCATGATGTTTCTTCTTAGACTGCTGAAGAAAAAGAGGAAGGCGATCACATGTCACAGTGGCATTTATGCCATCGCAGCAGACCTGTTTTGGGGACAGCCCAGTGCAGGGCACATGGCGCGAAAGAATCTCTTCAGGACTGCGCATGCGCAAGGGATAAACCCACTAGCGACAGCTCTTAGAGGGCGAAGCCTATGAGAAATAGAACATGTTTCTAGATGTATACAAAGATATAAAGGATATAACAGTTTTGACAGCCCTTGAGCTTTAGAAAGATGAACCTGGCCAAATCTAAACCTAGTGATGAGATTCAAGCTTTCTCTATCTGACAGGTTTTCTGTGATTACTACTCCATGATATTTGACTTCTTTTTTCACAGCAACGTTGCCTATAACTACTTTGACAGTCACTGTGGATAGCTAAAAGTTCGCATTTTTTCAAGTTAAGTGAAAACTTGAATCTCATCAGTAACCTTTAGAATCAGAATCAGAACATTTACAACCTTTACTAACATTTCTTCACGTTTCAGGAAAATATTGGTTCCCTGAATGTCTGGAGCATTCTTCAGACAAAATTCCAAAGTGAATAGTGAATGAAGCATTGGCTTCACTTCTAAGCCTCGGAAGTTACCGCGTGTGTTTTCAACGATCTTCCCTTAATGCATCATTACGTTCTTACGTATTGCGTCACCCTTCTGTGACGCCCTTCTCTTGTGTGCGTGCTCGGTTTTCGGCCCTGAAGCACAGATATCATGGTGAGCTTTACTTTTATCTTTTGTTTTCTAAACCGATAGAAGCTGTTGTGGTTTAGTGCTTTATCTTTGTATGTAACTAGGTTCGTAAAGAGCCCGTGGAGCAGTTCCAATAATGTTTAGGGTGTTTGTTACTTTATGCAACGTCTCTTTATGTTAGCTCTCAACCGGAGAGGAAGCACATGGGGTTAGCTTGAAATCAGTGGTGGGAACCCTGCTTGGCTGCTATTTTCGTTTCAGTTTTTTTTTTTTTTTTGTCTTTTTATTTTGTTTGTTTGATTTGATAATTAGGCATTTAGTTGGTTTTGTAGCCCATGGCTGCAGAAGGGGGGTATAGATTGAGGGATGGCGATGACAGAATGTTCTAGAGATAAAGGAAAACGAGGTGCTTATAGTGAAAGACCTAAGGTGGAAGGTTTTGTGGGGGAAATACGGCGAGGAAGATGGATAGTTTGGAAGAGGTTGTGGTTTTGTTCCGAATAAAGGGCCATAAAGAGGGGTGAGGAGGGTTTAGGGCTCTAAATCTTTTAATAGTAACAGCTGCATTGGACGAACAAAGGGATTTAAGGCCAGTTTGGTGTAAAGAGCAGGATCAGTTTGACAGTGCTTAAGTGGTAGGCAAGGTTGACCCTGCTTGCTCTCATTCGTCTTAGCTAACTAGACAGCATGCTAGTTTAGCTTGTCATCTTTGTGGCTGTCACACAGGAAAAAATCAGCCGCTTAGACTTTTGGGAACAATGAGATAAAAGCCAAACAAAAGATGAGTGAAGCAGTACGGAAACGCCACTACAATGGCAAATATTATGTTCAGCCTCGGTTGTCTGGAGTTTGTTTTTCAATCTGTATAAAAGCTTCTAGCGGTTTCTAGGATGACAGGGGCTGGGTTCGACTGGTGCTGCATTCAGGGCTGCTCGGAATAAATACCACTCCACTTGACCACTTCTAAAGCGTCTCGCAGTTTCTTACAGTGTTCCCTTAACCCAGGGGTGGGCAATTATTTTTTCCATGGGGCCACATGAGAAGCAAACATATTGTGGAGGGCCGGGCCAAAAGGCTGAACTCAATTTTGCATAATATTAATTGTATTTCTTTATAAAAAGCAATAAATAGCATTGTTTTGACAAGCTGGTAAGAGTATATGTTATAGTTGAGCAATGAAAAAGTGAGGTTGCCTTACAAAAAATGTCATTTATTCAATCAAATTTCCCAAAACAATGGTAAACATAATGTGAACATTTTTTACCATTTGTGACTCGTATTAGTGAACATTTTCAGTCATATTCACTCCAGAACACATTTTGAGTTTCATATACTGTTGGAAAGTTGTGTAAAGGTTGTTAGCATTCTAAA